ACTCCTATGTTATCTCATATCCTTAAAAAGTGAAATCTTTACTGAACCGTCCACAAAAATGCAACACGTGTTTCAAAATCACTGTTTTTAAATTAAACTCCCAACAACAGAGAAACTCACTCTCTTCTTTTATCAACACTCATGTTATTTTTCCGCCGCGAGATAACGTCTTAGTGTACCAATATCTCTGGTTTCTGGGATATAAATTGTTGTGTTCCGATCATCTATCACGAAGGGTCATGCGGGAAACATAAAGCCAGCTTAGGAGAGGTCTAAGAATGTGACCCCTTCGGAAAGTCTGATCGTAAGCAGCTCGCCGTACGAAATCTTTCACTTTGTAGACGCGGATCATCCTTTAGTTTATGGTACTGGACAATTGACAGCGGTATTTTTGCGGCTGGCTTGTGATATATGATTGAAATATCTTCCTAATGGATGTAGGGTTTTCGAATCAATAGATAATCCGTTCAAGAACATACGGAGTTGGGCATTGAACATTCGAGAAGCGAAAGTTATTTGATATATGATACGCAAATTACAAAACTTAAATAGTAAAAACAAATAAGTGAATTGTGAACACAATAGCTATTTATGATATGTGTGTTAAAACAAAGGTTTTATTTTGTGAGTGAGCGTAGCGAGTTGAGCAATTTCACGAACAAAATAAAACTTACTTTTAACACAAATATCATACAAAGTTTTTTGTACAACCGCCCTGTTTTCATAATAAAATAGACAAATTTAAGATTTATATAAAAATACGTTTTGACATCTCTTTTTGGATAACTTTTTTCATGTTATCACAGTTGCTGTAAAGTGGCCGTGTCAGGTGACGTCGAATCATCTGATTACCAACAAACAGTATGGTTTACAGCTCACGCGTTTTTTTTAAAGTCACATTTAGACTTTTTGCTGGTGTTCAATGTCTTGCATAATGAAAACAACAGTGAGGAATTGTGTGTTCCTGACGATATTGAAGAGGCTGCAAAAAGAGCTTCGATTGAATTGTTACCAAAAATATCGACTCATTATTACGACATCGCATATTCTGATTTTCCTAGCTGGTGTAGACTTGAAAACGTCGAAGGAAATTCCAGCGAAACCGTCTTCTTAGCCTATCTAGAAGAGAAATAAAAAATGTGGAACTCGTCAACTTTGTGGAGCAAGTTTTCAATGATAAAGTCGAGTGCGCTCGTTAAAAATGGTGTTAATACAAGCAAATATTTCAAGGTAATAGCGTTCTTAAAGCGGAAAAATGAAAGTTATAGGCCCAAAAAATCGAAAACTCTTACGTTTGAACAGGTTCAGAGGTTTATAAAAGAGGCGGTAGATGAAAAATATTTGATGATAAAAGTTGCTACTATTCAATAATATAAGACATTAAATCAATGGATAAATCATTGATTGTTAAAATTTCAAATACAAAAACAAAACTAGGTCGTTCTTTTTGCATTGTTGGAAAAAACATTGACTATTTCAATAAATACGTTGCATTACCACCTGCCTTTCAATCATCAATCGATCCTATTTCTTATACAAAGGCTATTGCTGAAAGAATAATCGCAACAGCCAGATCCAGCGTTACAGCATCGTCTTCTTCACTTCAAGAATTGAATGTTAATGTCCATGAAATTGTCAACTCACTTCAGATATATTAAAAAGCTCCTCAAATTTCATTTGGTATTAATATCAGCAGTTGTTCTAATTGTACTTTTCATATTAATGTTCATAATTAATAATAATAGTTAAGTGAATAATAATAATGTAATTGAAGTATATAATACATTTCTAACATAATGTAATTGTATCTATATCTATTGTTCATAATAAAACTTCCTCGAAAATTGAATTATTATAAACACCACGGTATAATTGTATATAATTTAAAAGTTCTACAGGAAATCAAGTAGAAAAAACGCAGTAAAAACAAGTTACATCCAGACATCCCTTTGCAGGAACTCATCCAAGCTATAATATTTCCCGTTCGTAAATAACTGTTTGGTATGGTTCTTGAAGGTATTATGTGTAGGTCCTTGACATCCTGTGACAATGGATTAAAAGGTATAGTGCCGTTATACCAGAGAGATTCCTTGAATGTCGACTTTTTGTGTTTTGGGAAGGTTGAGTGTTTAGTTCGTGTTGCATAATGGGTCATATGTATATTTTTTTCTAATTGTTCTAATCGATTATATAATGCATACTAATACTGGAAACATGAAAAAGTTGCCAAAAACATGAATAATTAGTCAGAAAAAAATGTATAAAATTGTATACCAAATATTGACAATTCAAACGGTCGACCATTTGGCGGGAATATGTGACGTTAAAGTACATGCCAACAAAGCGATCCAAAGCACAGAGAAGTAAACATAGTTGATTCTATATTGTATTACTTGATAATTTCAATAAATTAAAGTAGTGGAAAATCAGTTTATAAGTACTGCATAGTTCCAAAGTGCAACAATACAACGAAAACTGCTCCTCAAATAGTATTTTTTCTTATGCCGAGGAATGTAAACATTTGATTAAAGTAGTATAAAGCTATAAAAAGGGACGAATTTAAGAACCCGAAACTGTCTGCAACGAGCTGCTTATACTGTTGTGAAGATTACTTTGATGTAAGTATTTTTATATCTACATAGGTATATTTATATTTAATGTCATAGTCTAAAACACTAATAAACATATTTACTTCTCGAAAATAAAACCTTTCTGACTGCTGTTATTCTTCATTTTCAGGTAGAAAAGGATACAGAGAACTTCATTCAGTACCAAATAATGAATAAACAACAAGGGGTACCTGTTACATTAGGTCTACGTAAAGGTATTGTGCCCCACAAATTTCAGTGTCAGAAAGTAAATAGGCCAAAACCTGTGAGGAAGGCTTCTCTCAAAAGACAAAGACTTAGGTTGCTTCAAGAGACTATCAAAAGCTGCTCCCAGAGAAATTATGGAAGAAACTAATTTATGTGTTTTATCTGCTGGATACAGCAGATAAAACAATCACCAGAGAAATAAATTATTGTGAAGCTGGTCCTAATTCATTTTCACACGACGTTTTCTCAACAGAAAATAAAAGCCTTGCTTGTAACAAAGCCGTTCAAGTTAACACAATGGAGCCAACGACAATAGAATATAGAAGCAAAGGTGTCACTGGTGGTCCTAAGACAAAAAATGTAGCATTATCACCGTTTCTAGTACCAGTTAAAAACACATCAACTTCACCTATTGAAACCACCCAGATTACCGGTATGAAAAGGAAGTTATTCTCAGATACAAAACCAACAGACGATTTATCTATTACATCGCAATCTTCATCAATCTCTAGTGAGTATGAATAAGAAACTACGTCTTCCGAAGCGAGTTGGTCTCAAGATAACAAGGACAGACAATTTCAAAATGTAATGCGTAGTTAATATTTAATTCTCAATGAAAAGTACAATGCCTACTGAAATTACGCTCGGGGATGTGAATTATTCAATAGAGAAAGTATATTTTCAATAAAACTGAAGTAATTTTCTTCGTTCGAAATGAAAATTCCGAGGTAAATTTCAATCATTTTTCCCGGTGTATGATTACTCGGCATGAATGATTTTTTCATGTTCAAAGTACATTACGAAATTGATTGCTATTCATTCGAAAATAGTAGTCCAACTAATCGAATTAATGCGATAGATGGTACACAGCATCACGAAAAATTGAGTCTCCTCAACCATATACGTTAATTAAGTCTAGTGCATTCATAGGGATCAAACATACTCAAAAAATTCAATTGGCCATATTTCATACGAAATGCATCGTATAGTTTCGATATTGATAAATTTGATTTGATGAACGTCATATTCAGTTCTTTAACTTCGCCATCACAATCCGTTTAGAGAGGAAATGGCGTTATCAGGAAGAGACGTACCCACCAATTGCCTAGATTATTTTTCTTCAATTCCTAAAAGATTATCACAAAACGATGAACATTGTGTTGATTGGTAAAAAATTTTTGTCGATGTCGCGCTTTGGTATTTCCAGACTTTCGAAAGCTTTTAAGAGTCTAGTGTTATATACTTGTTTCGACAATTTCAAGCAATGTTCATACATTCTAAGCCATGTGAGAACGCTAGACTCTGTTGGAAGTAACTGAGGTCTGATTTTCTTCATTCGAGGGTGAAATATATTCTCACATCCCCTTTGCACATCTCTGAAATAGTGTTTTCTGACGTGTCATATAAATTTCAGGTTTTTCGTATAAGAAATAGCTATGTTGAGAAGCATTGTTTTTTACTATTAGACGATACTGACATTATTCTGTCACCTCCTTACGGATGACTACACTCAAAAATCAAAACTTGTACGAGTCAAAGGATTAACGAGGTATTTTCACTTAAAATGCGATAGCTAGAAGCTATTTCGGTAAAACAGAATGAAAATTGGCAGAGTTTAGAAAATCAATATTTGGAAAGAATATCTCGGACAAGAGAATGAGATCTTTACTTGACCTCGATTTCTCTTAAACGATGTTTCATGATATAATTCAGAGGTATGAGTTCAATGTTTCAAAATACATATTTTTAATTTTTTTAAAAAATACATTCAACTTGTGATGCACCGTTTGGAACATTTGGTGTAGTTTTATTCCAACACTAAACCATTATTTTCAACACTTTGATACGTGTTTCGATCATCAAATCAAGTGGTCATCTTCAAGAAGAAGATAATTTAATCTTACTCTTGAAGAATACTCATTCAAAATACATTCGAAATCGTATCACCATTTGGTCAAATCGTCAAAATATTCTGAAGAAAATGCAACTCATTTGTCATTATTATTATAGTTAAACAAGACACATTCTTCCACCTTCCAATCGACTAAAACCTCTCAAAAATCACAAAATTTCTTCGACCTCATATAAATTTCACTAAATATCCCCTTTAGTTGGCTCCCTTTCATCCAACTTGAAAGTCTATCGAAATCCCATTCAGAAATAATGTATCGACATGGTTTGTTTCAGACGGAGAGCCCATCAAGCTGCCCGAAAACCTGGAAAGTTTACCCCGAGCTGACCACTTTCCCACGCAGCGTCACCGCTGGAATACGAATGAGGTAGGTGCGGTATTTAATGGTGTAAAAACAACAAACTTATTAAAGATTTACTTCCTGGGATAATGTAGATCTCTACGTGCTAAGAAGCTAAATGGCGGGAGTAGTAGCTAAGAAACTTTTAGGCGAAAGTTCATGAGTTACCTTCGATTTCCTTTTTGCTAATCACTTCGCTAATGTTATTCGAGGCCATCTCGGGATTTCCGGTTGGAGGAGATATTCTGCTTATATAAAACTTATATTCAAAAATGAACTTTTAAAAAATGAATAAAACTCAAAAGATTTCAAGACAAGTCACTTCACGACATTTCGATTGTTAGTATCCCTAATCGTGGATACTAACAACGAGAGATGACTTTTTATAGGTCAATAGAGTGCTTTCACCTATGCCCTCCAAATCGCTGACCGTTTAGCAAGAGTTGGCCGTTTTCCGCTCGATTATTGGTTTCCATATGTTGCGTATCTCTACGCTAGCTTGCATAAATGCGTTATTGGGCAACATATATGCAGCTTCTTCGAATTTCCTCCTAAATCAGTGTTCCTCCCTGTGTATGATCTCAGCTTGAGAAAACTTGATCTTATGTTGATAAATCCAAACATGCTCTGCTATTCCCGATCTGCTTGTTTCTTCTCGCTGTGTGTGTTTCTTGTGATCGGCAATGCGAACATTCAATGACCTTTTAGTTTCACCGATATAGGATTTTTCACACTCGCAGGGTATTACGTAAATGCAATTCTTGGAATCTCAGTCCGCGTTTGGTATCTTGGTTCCGTGCGACTGCTACGGATAGTGTTTCCAGATCTGAAGCAGATTCTTTTCATCCTTTCCGACGTGAGGAAGTACAAGCATTGGTTGTGACGGCTTCTCTTCCTTGCGAGACTCTTGCTGTGTTTCAGCCAAAATCTGTTTCACTATTACTTTGGAGTAGGTATCTATTCCGCTGGAGATATTATTTGATGATACCTAGTTCCTTTTTGAGACCTTTTCTCATATTATAGAGCCCGAGAGTACGGTCTACTAGAGTCTTGATGATTCCTTTTTTAGTCAATTGATGGCTGTGGATTTGTATTTCAGATACTGTCCCGTGTTAGTGGGTATTCGGTATACATATGTTTTCCACTTCGGTCCTCTTCACCAATACATCTAAGACTGGCAAATTGTGGACTCCTTTGTCCATTATGAAAGTGATGGAAGGCGTCTCGCTGTTGATATACTTCAGAAATGTGTCTCGTTCTATATGCCTATGGTTCCATATTATGAAGGTGTCGTCAACGTATCTCAATCAGACTCGTGGCTTCTTGTGGGCTTCTTCAATTCATATTAGATAAGGAACTGATGAAATTTACCATGAAACATTGTCAACCACCTGCAAACAAATAGTTACCCGTTTCTTATAAATCTCTTCAGAAATTTGACGTTATGAATTATCTGAATAAATTATCTGGTGATCGACAGAAATATTACCGTGTCTTGATTGTTCTTTTGCTCCCATATTTTGATTTATGTTGATTCTTACAGGTTTCAATCTTGTAACTAATTTCCTCAGATCTCTGGTCTTCAGTGCTATAAAAAAATATGTTTAAAGTTTGTTTAAAATATCGCACCCCTACGAATGACAACCTTCAAAAGTTTAAACTTGTGCGAGCTAAGGACTAACGAGGCCTTACCTTTCCTTACACGGGTTGGACGATAGCAAGTAAAAATCTATCGTTCAGCCTGCGGCTTGAACCACCGATCAACACGGCGGTTGATTTGAGTGAGTGAACAAAGCACCCACGTCGAACCGATCGGTTACCGACCGATACGCTTAATTTCCACAGCTGAAAGTTAATTGAAGTCATCAATTCTTGTCGTTGCCATAGCAATTTTTTATCGAGAGTGACTGATTCCTTATACTTCGATTCTACTGAGCGGATATCTTTACTCTGTGTACATAACCTGTTGTATTCACTGATATTTCAGACCACTGATATTGAAATAAATCGTTATTTTATATAAAATAATTGACTTCAGCCGAATGAAACTTTTTATTACGACAATTTCAAACATCAACAGTAACATACAGTTGGGGTTGACACACGGTATATTTTACTTTTATTTCTTGAGATAATCGTATTAAAAGCAAAATGTATCAAACACTCTCTTTTGGAAATGTCAATATTCAACAGAGCTACGAATATCCGCCAGGAATTCATGCCTCTATAATAGCGAGGACGGCCTAATGGCACAATGGAACCGCGAACGGATGGCGAGGGCGGCGTGTCCCAGTCTCGCCGCCGAAAAGCAGGATTCGAGAGCCGGCACGGTTATCTGAAAGTTAAATTATGTGGAAGTAAGAGCGAAGTAGGCAAACAGACGCTACTGGATCGAAAATTGATGTTTTGCGTGGAACGGCTTCATGAATTTCGGTGGACAAAATAGCTCAAATGAGTCTTCTTTCAACTTGGATTTCAACATCGGTTTGTCAGTCTATTATAGATATCATTTGGTATTCGCCAAACCCATGACATATCTTAACAAAATAATGAAAGCTGGTGTATGTCTCTCCATACCCAAAGTAGTCGTTATCAAACCACGTTATAAAAAAGTAAATAAATGTGTGATTGACAATTATAGACCCGTTTCACTGATACCCGGAAATTTTCGAAAAAGCTTTCAAGAACAGACTCAACAATTATATAAAGAAAAACAACTTGCTATCAGAAAAATAGTTCGGGTTCAGGGAAGGCGAATCTACACAAGATGCTATAACCAGCCTAACATCCCAAATTTACAAAGCGATAGATAACAGAAAACCCAGTCTGTGTATATTTTTAGATCTCTCCAATGCCTTCGATAGTGTGAGCCATACACAGCTACTAGAAACCTTGGAAGATAATGGAGTTAGAGGAACAACTTATGATCTAGTAGAAAGTTATCTATACCAGGGGAAACAATTTGTGCGAATTAAAAACAAACTCAGTTCAGAAGAGTACAATTTGGTGTGCCACAAGGCACTGGCCTTGGGCCACTATTATTCACAATATATCTTAATAGTTTAGTAACTTTGAATACTACAGAAACTATAATCAGCTTCGCAGATGTTACTATGATAATGTATGAGGATGAAAATAGGAATGACTTGAAAGAAAAGGTGGAGTCTGATATGCCAAAGATAATTGACTGGTTTAATCATCAACTATTGATGATAAACTTTGCAAAAGCAACTTCTGACTTTTACAGTTACAGACATCATTTACCAAATTTCAACATACTCAATATACATAACAACGAGTCGGTTATTGATATATACAGAACAGATACCATTAAATATTTAGGTGTAATAATGGATAGTCATATGAGATGGGATGTTCACATTGAGAAAGTTACAAAAACCTTAAGAAGTATGCTGTTCAAATTCAAATATTTGAATAAATTACTTGACACTCACCATTTGAAGATCATTTATTTCGCTCTGGTGGAATATCGTATTTAATATGCCATATTGAGCTGGGGAGGGGTCGCTACTATTCACCTGAAAAAGTTAGAAACAATACAGAAACGATTTTGGAAAATTATGTATGGAAAAGAACCAACCTTCTCTAGCAATTAACTCTTTTCACAAGCAAGAATACGCGATATAAGACAAACAATTGTAAATTTAATTGTGCAAATCCCATGCACAACTTTAGTTTCAATGGGAATTCGATGTTAATTTACATCTCAATAACAATTAACTCTAGTGTTGATTATGAAATAACATCTTTTCGGTAAATAAACTTATTATTATGAAAAGAGAAATGAAAATGTCTATGTTTTTTACCACTTTTATTTGTAACTAACGTTACTGCAGTTTCGTCCTATATGGACATTTTCAAACTCAAACAATATTGTTTAAGAAAAGAGAAATGAAAATTTCTATGTTTTTTTACATGGTAAAAAATATAGAAATTTTCATTTCTCTCTTCATCATAATCTTCTACCATGTAGTAACGGCTACATCCATCAATTTATTGAAACTTATTATTATTATAGTTCTTTAGTATTTTCGATTAAATGATGACACGAAGTTCAACATCCCTTTCCAAGAATAGGATTATTCTTTTCAATCAATAATACAGTATCAGAGTATCAACACAAGATGAAATCCTTAACCTCACTTTTGAAGTACTCTGACATAAACAATTATAGAAAATAATCTGTATGATTGTAGATTTGTTTGAAGTTATGAATAGATTTGAAAATCGAATTATGTTACCTATAAATAAATTCGCAAAACTAACACAACCGTCAACGACGACTGCCCTCACGCGTCTGCCCGCGTTCGAGTCGCATTCTCGACGATGGCTTTTCATTGCTTAGATCACCCTTCTACCCCCGCGCATCGTTTCCCCTCGTCTTACGCGTAATGGCGACGCGTATTGGCTTTCTCCATTGCGTCAAGTTAATCTTATCGTGATAACTTTTAAACGATTCGTTCAAATAACTTAGTGTAAAAAACGAAGTTCATCTATATTAAATAGCTAAAGCGACAATTGTATCAATATTTATGAAAATTTGACAGATATTCTAAAATGTGCATTGTAAAAAAAGTATCCAATTTTAATTATATTTTTGGCTCGGTATTTTGCATCTAGTGGCTACCACATATGAGGTAGATATATACTAGGGCGAACTTTTATTGAGAACTATTTAGGATAAACAATCTCATGGTACATTATCTGCTCTCAGGGAGCAAGCATTTTTCCGACTTACTCAATATTTATCGTTATATTATGACCAAAATTACACAAAACCTTTGTAAATTGTAGCCTATATGTAATTCTGATATATAAGTTGTATTTATGTAGTTTCATCTAAATCCGTTCAATACATACATACATACTTACATCCATCCTCACAAACTGTCACATTTATATTAGTATAGATATAGATATATAGAGATAGGTATAGATATGACTTCGACATGAATCACGTCTACTTAAACGATAAAGTACGTTCAAATTCATCATCCTTTGCAAAA